TACACGTTGCATCAACTTGATGGTGGTCATTCCAGGTGATGAAAGTCTTTGCGCATGCCGGAATGTTCGATAAAAGGCAGGTATCATTAACTGGTTGATAAGAGTTATGACACGTGGTGACTTTACAGCCCGGCATCTTAACATTTTCACTGATATTGCAGGTCATCGTTTTCCACAGAAATGGACGCTCTGCTTGAAGAATGGCCTTTGTTTTACCGCTATTTATTTGCCATGAAATGATGGCGGAGAATCGTCCTGGTCCCTGTGTGACGTGTGCGAAATCGTATATCGCGGCACTGTTACAAACATATAGTGATGACCTCACGTGACATGCTGCACAATATTTATTATGGTACAGAGTTTTCCTTCCATCTTCAAAGACTGAAACTGGTGATCTGTTAGCTTGGCATTTATCTTTAAGCTGTATGTCATTTCCGTCTGGACAATCGCTAAATATCATATTAGAACAAAGGTGGAGATTTGGAAGGGGAGGAGGAGTCCATTGGAAAATTCCATTAGTCGATATTGAACTTATGTCTGTTTTTTCGAAGAGCGAAGGATCGGTATCTCTTTCAAAAACAACGCGAAGGGTTAGATTCCATGATTGTGCATCGGCCACTGCAAAGCCATTGCAGATAAGGCAGTGGATATTTTTAAAGTGATAATTCCTAATTGACACTGGTTCAGTATTATCACCGAGACATTTGGACAAAATATGTGCACTAGAGTTCTGGGAACAGCTAGAAATTAAGATATGACCTGGTGAATTGTCGATACAATCAACCGTCACACCCAATATGCCTGACAGTCGTTCTTTAGCGTCCAACCATAAATCAGGACACTCGCTACGAAAATCGTCACAGCAAGTCCCATACAGCTCACAGTGCAGCTCACAAGAGCATGTCGTGATTGCTTCCACTCCACATATGTCTCTACAGGAAATGACGTCATTCAGGCAGAAGAACTCATCTATAAATTCTTTTTTACACTGATTTTTCCACGACAACGGTATGTGTATGGAGTCACAGTCAAATCTTGGTTGTGTCTTGCTTAATGATGAATTGTTGAGAGAAGTGGACTCCTCGTTTAGATCGCCCGTGGTGTTAACGTGTTCGGTCTGTCGATTAGAAGCTCGGAAAAGGAAGCTCTGTGACATATTCTTGTACATCCCTTCCACTCTGGTCACCGATGACAATGTAATGATTTCCTTATAGTTGGTATTTGGTTTAGTTTCCCTCTGCTGTGACAGTTGTCCAATGGTTGAAGGTAGATACTGAGTATTCGTTCTATCCGATTCTCTACGTTGCGAAATAAGACTTCGTGTTTCATCAGCATTACTCATTGTCGAGGAAAGCGTTGCCAAATATCCATAACCTGAAGTAGTCACGGTGGGCAGCTCTGCATTAATTATTGCCGAGGAAGGCGTTGGCAAATATCCATAACCTGAAGTAATCACCGAGGGCAGCTCTGCATTAATATAAGAAGGCGTTGTTAAATATCCATATCCTGAAGTAGTCACCGAGGACAGCTCTGCATTAATTATTGTCGAGGATGGCGTTGGCAAATATCCATAACCTGAAGTAGTCACCGAGGACAGCTCTGCATTAATTATTGTCAAATCTAAAGTAGTCACCGAGTATAACTCTGCAAAATTTGTGTCCTCCGAACTTGTCATCAGTGTTGGCGTGAATTCTGAGTTTTGAATTTCCAAATTCGGAAAAACCGAGCGTGGAGTTGTCAAATCCATGTAAATACCTGCCATACTGGTCATCACTGGTGATGTTGTGATTGCCTTATAGTTGCTTTCCAATGGTGAATCATCCCAATCCTGAAATACTTGACTCAATGATAACGTTCCTTGCCATATAAAGACAAACACAACCCAGTCTAAACAAACGTTCATTTTCAAGTGATTGTTGGTTTTAAATCAAAATCTCAGAATCAGATTAGTAAAAATTGATCAAAGTTCAGACCAAGCTTTGTCGAACGTTCTTTGTCGAATAAATATGGACGGAGGTTGTTGACACGTTAATCTTCAAGTGACTGTTGAATTTAAATCAAAATCTCACTATCAGATTAGGAAAATCTGAACAACGCGCCGACTAAGATTTGTCCAACGCTCGCCTGCTATCTACATCGTGATTCGCTTTTTGGATCGATATTAAAGGTCACCGGAAAAGGTTCATAAATTACTAATGTTGAAATTTACCTGTTGCAGGTATTATTGACGTTCAGGCTCGGGTTATACTTATGGAAAGGATATGTTGACATAATTACTTGCATTATTAAAAAAAAAAAATTAATGCTTTTCCCGTGACCTTTAATGCTCAAAACCAATTTGCCATTATGATAAAACTAGAAACTTCTTTGTTAAGTAATAATATATACCACCAATTAATATACCTCGAAAATTATCACGAAAAGATAATTAGGCGAATCTAATATCACTTTAATAATATGGTTTTTTTTAATATTTTAATTAGATTTATTTTCTTATTTAAGATTTATATAAAAAGTCCAGGAGCTAGCAAACTTCTAATCAACATCACGAGTACAAAAGGTTTAAGGTAAATGAAATGAAATGGGGTTTAAGGTCCTACTTTTCTGTTCCGACAGGGGTAATGAAGAACGGCATACGCCATACAGTGTGCTATGAGGGAAATTTTGCCCGGACAGCGGCACTATGGTCTACTCTTATATCAAATTTCAACTGCCAAGGGATCTTTTACGTGCACGCCAATATGTACACGGGACCTCGGTTTTTCGTCCCATCCGAACGACTAGACATAATATGTCCTTGTCAGGCCCTCCGTCCTGCATCACTGACAAGGGGGAACCACGCCGGAAAATCTGGATGAACTTTCTCGACCAATGCAGGGAAGGTTTAAGGTGCGGAAGTCGTGCAGTGATTCTCAACAAGTGTGCCGCGAAATTTCCAACAGCACACTAAGAAAATGCGAAAAAAAAACCCCACTTGATCCCAATTGTGTATTCACTGGTGTCTACTGATCAAGTTCATAGCTGTGTTTTTTCTTTATTTAGTTACTGATCAAGTTCATAGCTGTGTTTTTCTTTATTTAGTTTGTGTGTATGAATAGTCTGTGTCTACGGTTGTATGCCGTCTATTACTTGCCAAGTTTTAATTTTGCAAAATTCAAATATTTTTCATATATATATTTAGCCAGGTGTGCCTCTATTTTCTCGTGTGATCCACGGTGTGCCGTTGGCCAAAAAAGGTTGAGAACCACTGAAGTAGTGTATGCTTAGGGAAGTGTAACGTTGCTAAAAGTCTGAAGGTAGTCAATGTTTCAAAATACCAATGTCATGGATGGTGTCAAAATACAAAGTACATGTACTAACTTTTCACAGCGTTAAAACATGCTAGGTTATCATCAAAATTAATGAATCCCCCCCCCCCCCCACACACACACACACACCTCCAATTGCTTAAAGGGCGTGTGACTATTTTTGGAACCTTGATATATTATATCCAAAAAAGGTTTCGGAACTAACATAAAACCCACGAGGTTGGACAGGCGACCCTACTCCTTGTCACGTAAAACCGGGGAATCGAAACCACGCCAGTTGACTCAATAACAGACGTTATGATACAGCGCGCACGCGCTAACCATTCGCCCCCCCCCCTTCAAATTTTTTTTTTTTTTTTTTAAATAATAATAATAATAATAATAATAATCATAATAATAATCTATTTATAAAGCGCTGAATATCCAACAAACTGGTTGCTCAAGAGCGCTAGGGATCATCCTTAGGGTATACGGAATAAGTACGAATTTTTCAAGACGATAAGGTAGGGAATGGAGCCTGTAGGTGACAGACAGACAAATACAAAAAATGGTGTTACTCTTCCCCTGGGGGTTAGGCATGCAACCAAAACAACAGGGCTGACCCTTAGGGTATAAGGAATAAGTACCGGATGTAAAGTTTCAAGACGATCCGTTAAGAAATGCGGCCTGTAGGCGACAAACAGACAAATACAAAAATTGGGCGTGGCTCTGTCCCTGTGGGTCAGACATGCGACAAAAACAATAGGGGTCATCCTAAGGGTATAGGGAATAATTACGACTTTTTTCAGGAGATCTTAAGGGTACATATCGATTGCCCCATACCAAAATTAAAGGTCACCGGAAAAGGTTCATAAATTTTTTAAATAATGCAAGTAATTATGTCAACATATCCTTTCCATAAGTATAACACGAACCCGAATGTCAATATTGCCTGCAACAGGTAAATTTCAACGTTAGCAATTTCTGCCATTCTCCGTGGGTTGTCGTAACTTTCCGTAAATGTGACGTCATTTTAGTCCTTCTGCTCACATTCTAGTCTATATTTCTATGTGCAGAAGGACTATAATGACGTCACGGATTGCTTATTGACGGAAAGTTCCTACTACCGACGGAGAAAAGCGGAAATTACTAATGTTGAAATTTACCTGTACTCCGACCTTGCTGATTGAGTACTATAGACTGACTCGAACACCAAGACACTAAATAAGATGACGAGCATTACTCTATTCCAGTTAAATCCGACAGCCCATTTTTCAAGCTCGTCCCTCGATAGATTAAACTATGCTCAATACGACACTCAATTAATTAGTCCGGGAGTTTGAAAGACATGGAGGCTTGGTGCGTAGGAAACCATATTAGTGTCTTAATAATCGAGACTAAAATTAAAAATAAAGTGGTGTCTTCCCAAAAATAGATAGAAAAATATAGAAAGGTCTGTAAAATAAAAAGTCATTTACCGAACGGGCTGAAATGATGTGGAGCCATCATTACTTATAGTATACCTAACATCTCCTACAAAAAGTGCTAGGTGTTCGAAGGCGCTATACTTAGTTATAGACCCTTATTGGCATGAGGCCTATAGCTATAGGATAGGTACGTTCAAACATCAACTTCCCCATTTCGCACATTGGAAAAATTTCGATTTGCCAACCTCGTAAGTAACCAGGTAAACGAATAAAAAATGTAACCTACCTGGTTTGTAGAAATTGTTATTTTTATCTAAAATAACCTGAAACCGGCTCGAGTGTTTATCATTGTTTACAACGGAAGACATGATGACAAGGGAAATAACTCTTATTTATATTTCAGGGGTCAGACTCATTTGGTAGTGACGTCCTGTGCATAAAGAATTTGTAATCAGATAGAGCGGGAGCCCAGGGGGTTAACCTAGCTGAAAAGTGTACCAATTTTCTCCTATATGGTATCAATGTATGTATATCTGGTATCATCAGAATGTAAGTCTGCCGGGTTTCTGGTGGTGGGTGTGGGATTCCCCGCCCAAAATGCCATGCCCCCCAACTAGTCTAGATTAGCTCAAAAGTGTACCACATGAAAATCGCACAACAAAGTACCGTACATCTTCAGGTATTACAAAAACACTCTGACAGACATTTCTAGTGGTGGGATACCCCTGAGAGAGCTATGTAATTGCCAGACATTTGTAGTGATGGAGTATCCCTGAAAAGAGTTATCTAATTTCCAGACCAAAGCTAGGCTAGATTAGCTCAAATCTGTACCACCTAAAACAGCTTTGGAGTTGTTCAGTACCACGAGAGGAATCATGAATGACCACTGCCAGACAGTTTGTGCGGTGGGTTACCCCTAATAGACACGCCCAAAATGCCACACCCTCCAACTAGGATAGATTAGCTGGCACTGTTCACGTGGTCCAAAAATTTAAAAATTGTGCCAGGATGCATAGATTACTAATACCTAGCACGTATTGAAGAGGCGATAAACTGCGGTTGCAGGAACAATTTTTTTTTTTCAAAAACGCATTTTTAGCCCTATAAAACGTTTTTATGTACATTTGTCCAATGTTCGTTTGTCAAGTGTTTGTTTATATACTCTTCAAAAAAAGTAGGGGATATTCAGAAACAATACAAAACTGCGGAAATGCACTGCTGTTTTTATTACTGGTAACCAGTGTATGTTAATAACAGGCAAATTGCCTACACATGAACATAAACAGTTCATATGGGCGGCTTATCTGACGGCCCCATTTCACTTGCAAAGTAGAGATACACTGTCAAAAGTGAAAATGGACGTTTTTGATTTTTGTCTTAAAAATGAGTAATTGCTCCACCAACCCTCAGACATTCAGCAATTCGTCGTGGCATATTCCTAATCAACCATCCAATCACGATTTGGGGCAATCTGACCCACTCCTCGTGCAGTGCCACGGCCAATTCTTGCAGTGTTGTCTGTTGACGTCGACGAACACGTCTCCCGATCAAATTAAACGTAACACACTAAAGCCAAGATAAGCTAAACAGTAAATCTTATGCAAGAACCGATAGGAACGCAAACATGGATAGGATAAACCTGCAAGCGGCAGTTTTCATCAACCCTTCCTTGAAGTGTCAAATTTGACAATGAACCCCTCCCACGTGTATGGCGCTATTGCGTGTCGCATGTACAGCTCAGTGGTTCTGTTGGGGCGATAATTTCTTCATCTGTGAACATACTCTCAAAGCATGTCAAGTGAATGTCCATGACTATTTATTATTATATCACAACCTGCATAGGTATTTGCATTTCAATATCCCCTACTTTTTTTAAAAAGTATATATAAAAGTACAGAGAGAGAGAGAGAGAGGGAAATGGGGTTTAATGTCCACATAACACAAACTAGGTCATTTCGGGACTAACATATGGCTCAATTTTATTTCCATAATTCACTTGCACACAGGGTTCTTTAGCAGTGGGAGCTATAAAACCGGAGGCAACCCAGGAGGTAGGACAGGTGACCCTCCTCCTTGTCACGTACAAGCCGGGAATCGATGCCACTCCATTAGACTCAATGCCAGACCATCTGATCCAATGCGCACACATTAACCATCGCCACCCCCCCTCCGCACCCCGCCAGGACTTCGCCCAGGACCTGACCAGGGAGCTGTGGCTTCGTTAAATCTCACTCATTGCAAACATTTTAGGTTGGCAGGTCTGCATTTCCCTTCAAGAATTCTTTATTTATCCTTATTACAGATAGTTTGCCAGGCAAAGAACTTTTCAAAAATAATCCCCTTGTAAAAATAATCCTATATAACAAATAATCCCTGATTAACAATTCACTAATTTAAATACATATCAATCAATGTACAAAAACACAGTATTGATCAAGCGGTTGCTATACGCTCACATTTTGCGAGAGCTGGATAGAACAAGCTAAAAAGATAGGTTGCCAGGCAACAATACATACACCCACCTTTTCTTGGTGCTGAAGCATGTATAATACACTAAAATCTGATTAAGAGTAACAACTCCTTAAGTTATTAATAGAAAATCCTTAGAAACCATGCCAGTTGACTCAATGACAGACCTTATGACGCATTGAGAATTATGCGTTTGAAATTTGTGTTTTGTTGTTATCTCTATGTCCATCAAATAATAACATTGATGTAAATTGTAATTGACGTTCGGTGATGTATATGTATGAAATATTAAATCACAAATGAATGTTATTATTTGATGTCTACAGAAATAACAACAGAACGCAAATTTCAAACACATAATTCTCAATACTTAATATTTCAGATTCGTGACGATGATACAGCACGCACGTGCTAACCATACGGCCACCATACCCATTTAAAAAATCCCCCGCAATGATTCAATTATTGACATTCACTGCAGTAAAATTGGACCTGCACATCTTTAAATTTGGATACCAGCACATTTAACATGCAGCCACTGCCCAAAACTGTCACATTCTATCCAGTGTATAAGTTTGTTTTTCGGCCTCAGAAATGTAGCTGACAGGTCATAAAGGGTTGATGTGTTGGTTGCAGCATATACATGTACCAATGCCCCAGCTTGGTACATGTTGCTTCCTCGCATAATTATGGGATGAACGTCCCACCATTAAAGCCTTCGCATACTGAAAATAGAAATAAAATGAAAAATACAATTATGAAGCATTACCTTTGAAAGAAAAACCTGGCATACCATATAGGGTACCACATTTGTAATATTTAATGGACGCTTAAATGCAGCTATCAGTGTGAGATATGAAAAGTTGTCGGATGTGGGTGGACAATTGTCTATTATAGGCTGATGACCACAGCAAGAGCTGAACATACCACTGGTAGCTAGTAGAATGACAAGCCCTTACATGTTACCTACATTCAGTCACGTTCCTGAAGCAACGACTGAGTTTTACAACATCTGGACTTTGGACGTTGCTAGATTACTTTCGTTCGTTTGTTTCTAGAGTTTTACGTCCAATTCCACCTAAGGTGATATCGTAGACAAGCTAGATTAAAATACAAATCCCAAACTTATAGTTACATTATCTGCAGACACATGAACAGTAGCGTCCAATCAGAGGTTGTAACATAGTGACCTCCACGGAAACCTTGACATTGAATTAACCTTGAACTTTGCAACTCGATTATCACAGGTAGACATTTTATCTGGACAGCGTGAGACCTTGTATTCGCGATGACCGAGGAATCTGATAGGCTCCCAGGCAGTGTGAATACCCAATTGAAATTAGTGCCGAAATATGCCGGGTATTAAGTGAAGGCCTTGATAAGATGTACATAGTTAAAGCGAGATCAGGCCTTCTATTGAAGATGACTTTCAGTAGGTGTCATAGTCAACATTTTCTCAATATATTGACTCCAGAATGAAAGCAGAATATCCTTGAAAATCCTGCATAACTTTCACTTCTCACCACAGATGTTTGACTCCAGGTACAATGACATGAAGAGAGAGAGAGAGAGAGAGAGAGAGAGGGAGAGAGAGAGATGGGCTAACATACATGTATGGTTCAATTTTATTTCAATAATTCGTTTGTGCGATGGGGGTTTTTAGCAGTGGAAGGAAACCGGTGAATTGAAACCACGACAGTTGACTCAATGACAGATCTTATGATACAGCCCGCACGTGCTAACCATTCGGCCATTCGCCCCACAAACCTTAAAGGCCCTATGCATGATTTTAGCACCATCTAATCCCTTGCAAACTACAATAGCAGTCCTAACAAAGAGAGATGGTCAAACAGAAAATGGACATCGCCGTACATCTTGGGGCTGGGCATGCCCCAAAACAATAGGGCTGACCCTTGGGGTATTAGGAATAATCCATCAACATGAGACCATCCATTAACATTTGCTGCCTAGAATTGAGCGTGGCTCTGCGACAAATTTGGCATTTAAAAAGCTATGTATTGTTGGCAGTGCTTTGACCCCAGTTGTACATATCATTAAGGGCTGGTTTCTTTATAGTCGGTTCTTTATTTTGGAAAATCACCTTTGATTTTCTATCATCTTTTTAGGTGCCTAAGGGAATATAAGGAATATAAAGTTGGGTTACAATACAAAATGCTATTGTAAATGTCACCCTTCTACTCAAATATGTGGAACTGTGCATAGCTGTGTTGACTTCTTGTCGGAATATTATATTCCTTGGCTACATCAAGTGAAGTGATTCTGCAAGTGATAAATTTAACCCTTAATCGGTCTATGTAATTTTGACGTCATGACATCAAGTGGTCAGGCTAAATAAAGGCTAAAGTGAAATATTTTGTATGCCTATTTCAAAGGACTACAGCTGGATAATTATAAGTCTCTTGTTTTCTAAATCATTTTCATCAGAAATATCGTCTTCAGAATTGGTTTCATCGATATAAACCAAGTTTGAATCATTCATAAGAATTTCAACCACTTTGCCAGTCTTTAACCTTCTCGACGTCGTTAAAAAAAAAACTACGTTTTTTGTCAAAAAATATTGAACTAAGACATGTTTTTCTCAATGAACCTTGACAAGACAAGTTCCCGTCTGATACGGATGCGTGGCCATATGAATTAAATACGAAACTAAATACTCAACTGCGGCTTATAAAATAGGTTCTCACTGTGGTCAATCGTGACCACTTAGCTGTATAACATTATGGTGACTACATGTATTGTCGACAAAGACAGGTTAAGGTTTAAATGTAAGCGCTCCAAAAATTATAATGTTGATGTGGGCAGTGCCAGTTGTACATACCATTAAGTGTCTCTTTCTTTGCTTTTTTTCTTTTTTCTTTTTGTTTTTTTTTTAACAACTTGTTTCGTGCCTAAGGGAACATAAATTATGGAGTGCAATTTATTAATTTATAAATGAAATGAAATGAAATGGGGTTTAACGTCCTACTGTTTTGCTCCGAACCGGGCTAATGAAGACGGGCATACGCCATACAGTGTGCTATGAGGGAAATTTTGCCCGGACAGCGGCACTACGGCCTACTCTTATATCGAATTCCAACTGTCAAGGGATCTTTTACGTGCACGCCAATGAGTACACGGGACCTCAGTTTTTCGTCCCATCCGAACGACTAGACAGCTGTCCTTGTCGTCCCCTCCGTCCCTGCATCACTGACAAGGGAGAACCATGCCGGAAAATCGGGATGAACTTTCTCGGCCAATGCAGGGATCGAACACCCGACCTCCAGGCTAGCGAGCCAGCGCCTTACCCACTTAGCCACCGTGATCCCCCTATTAATTTATAGGCATTAATAATGGCATCCGTATGTGACAAACTTGGTTTGTACAAAAACAATTTGATTAAAATACAGATTTATATTTAAAGAGAGAGAGAGAGAGAGAGAGATGGGGTTTAACCTCCACTGACACAAACTAGGTCATTTCGGGACTAATTTACGGTTCAATTTTATTTTAATAATTCGTTTGCGCGTTGGGGTCTTTAGCAGTGGTGCCCTGTGATACAGCTGGCACGGCCCTAACCATTCAGCCATCCAGGTCATTTTGGGACTAACACATGGTTCAATTCAATTTTAATATTTCACTTCCGCATAGCGGTCTTTAGCAATGTTATCTAAATTATTAGACAATAATTAACTGATCCAGGCCATATCAACTCTCAATGGTATCAGATTTCTCTGATATTAAATAGATTAGAAAGGTTCGGTCAAATTTTGATTTAAATTAAAAGTATGGTGGTTGAAATTATTGCATAGGTCTTGTCAAACTTTCAAATGCTAATATCTTCGCTCGCAATAGGGTAATTTGAATGAAATTTTCTATATTATCTATTTTATATTATCTATTTTCGAACTATTATAGCAAGAATGGCTAGCCCTTTGTCTAAATGTATCTTTAAGTGATAAAATTGTTAACTATAATGTCTGACCTGAATAGTATCATTTAGTCACCACAGTTGACATATCTGATTGTAATTCAGATTGGTCTTGACACATTCCATCATATTATTTGTGTTGTGTCCCTTTTGTGTCCATTTCTAGGTTGGGGTCACGGTGGCTAAGTGGGTAAGACGCTGGCTCGCTAGCCTAGAGGTCGGTTGTTCGTTCTCTGCAAGTTCATCCCGATTTTCCAGCGTGGTTCCCCCTTGTCAGTGATGCAGGACAGAGGGTCTGACAAGGACAGCTGTCTAGTCATTTGGATTGTACAAAAAATCGAGGTCCCATGTACATGTACACATTGACGTGCGCGTACATGTAGAAGATCCCTGGACAGTTGGAATTCGATATAAGAATAGGCCGTAGTGTTGCTGTCTGGGCAAAATTTTCCTCATAGCACACTGTACGGCGTATGCCCGTCTTCATTAGCCCAGTTTGGGGCAGAACAGTAGGACGTTAAACCCCATTTCATTTTGTGTCCATTTCTAGGTGCCAAAGAATAGAATCTGTTGCAAGACAAGATAACCTACATGTACCCATATTAACGACATAAATTGTCTACGGAAAAATCGCAAATTTCAAAAACCCCGAAATGATCAAATAGATTTTTAACTTGGTAATCTTACCTTTTTTTTTGGTACTTGTAGGTTCGCAAAGTATGTCATGTAGACTTAGCGACGGGAACTGATTTTACTCATACTCTTTCTCTTTCATCCAAGGAACAAACCATTTATAATTGTTGGCGCTTATTCTACCTTTCCAGTCCTTCTCATTTAAGTTGACCTTTAGCTCCTGCTCCTCTGGGCACACCTCGACTTTCCTTCGCGGGGGTCATGAAAGATTCCTGCAAATTGGCTAAATCGCTCTTCTAAATATTGAGATTAATAAACTACTTTCAGTTTTTGTTTTTTTTTAAACTACATACTTTCGAGTTATCTGTTTCCATGATGATAATTCTGACGCTACCATATTCACCAAATATTAAACAAGACTAAAGCATGAATACAATTTGGCCTTCCTTAATTCAAGAAAATGTAGAATTACTCTTGCAATATAATTAAGAAGAGTTTTTTGGGGGAGTTTTTTCTCATTTTTGAAATTGGCAGGATCTTTTTATGGCTCACGCACAATTTTATAAACGCGAAAGACTGCCTTTCGGGTAGTCAACTATGCAATCACGTTTTTCTTTCTGTATCGCCGTGGTTGTATTTTTACCAATAAATTACATCACAAAATTCAATAAAACGAATAAAACTAACGCAGTGATCTTTTTTTTTTAATTTATTTTTTTTGTTGTTGTTTTTTGATGATTATAGATGAGTTTTATTTTTTTTGTTTTTTGATCATTATAGTTGAGTTTTAATTATTTTTTTGTTTTGTTTTGATGTTTTTTGATGATTTTGAATACGATATATTATATAATATTTTACACAATGACGATAAACCTATTTATAATCCAGTCATTAATCCTCATCACTCGAGATAATGTTCTTCTTTAATACTTTACGCAGAGGAATATGATCATCTACATCAGAATCGGAATCTACTACTTGACTTAACATGGTGGCAGGAAAAGACTGGGACTTCGTAGATTTAGTTAAAGGCTCATCAGAACTACTATTCCCATCAGATTCCATCTGTACTTGTTTTACTGGAGATCTATCTTTCTCGCTGGCGTCATCACTTTCACTATCCAAGTCCATTACTCTCTGTATTTTACGGGTCTTCTTAGTTCCTTTAGGACTTATTCTTGACTTGGGTTTATTAAACTTATTTTCGATTTCTTCATCACTACTACTTTCATTATTCTCATCAGTTCTCTTTCTTTTTCGAGATTCTTTTAAAGCTTTTAACGCTTCTAGTTTCGACATCATTATTTTTTTTCTTTCTGCTTGTTTATTATTTTCTTTTTTTTCCTTTTCAGCATCTTTTTTGTTTTTTCTCACTTCCTTTTTCTCCTTGGCCTGCTTTTTCTTCTTCATTGACGAAATCTGCTTAACTTGTATTTTATCAGCATTTATGGGTTCATCTTGATCATTTAACGTTAAACCGTCTATAATATTCCTTAATTCACTTACACTCAATTCACCTGATATTCTCCAAAACGCTTCCTGTTCATTAGCAGGTGGAGAGATGCCAATCATTTTCATGAAATCTAAAAACTTTTCATCTTCCATAGCTGTTTCGTTATCTTCTGTTAGAGGTACAATTGGTATAGAAACACCACTATCTGTAATGATATTATTATAAATATATAAATTAAAATTGTCAAGATTGCCAGCCACCAGAATGAACTTAAAGATACATTATGGGAGATTAGATAAAGAGCTGGCAGTTCTCACTATAATAGTTAACAAGCGGTGGCCATGTAAGATACGCCCACATTTTGCAAGAGATGGACAGAGAACGAGCTAAAAAAATAATGTGATTTATTGTACAAATCAGGGGCCATAATCCAGGAAGTTACGATCCGATATGCACGAATATCGAATGGAACCAAGATCTTTGGGTTGTAAACGTGCATTTCAAGTTTCATCAAAACGGATTATATCTATACTAATATTTGTGACTGTCGTTTGTCTGTCTGGGGTTGGCGGCTACACTAGGTCTGCCCCGAGTCTGAAATTTGGGGTATAGGAGTAGTAGGGGTGATGATTTTCCGTGATCGCGGAAAAAACGCGGAAATTGCGGAATTGTCCACTCAAAACGGAATTTGAAATCTCACACGGAAAAAGACGGAAAAGCCGATATTTGCTGATACTAAACACAAACTCAAAATAATTTTGCAGTTATCCAAGTATTTCATCTTTTTATTCATAAAAATCGGAAATATTGAATGATATCGCGTGGTTTTGTTACTGTCTATTTTAATATTTCGCTACTTTCATTTCATCATTTAGGAATCATAATTTTAATCGAAACGAAAACCCGTCTTTCATGTATCCCATTATAAAATTACTCTGTAGTTTAACTTGAATTAAACAGTGTAATGTATATATATGTCTTTAAAAAAACTTCTGTCACTTCATAAAAGTAAAAATCGTTTCATTTACTTCTTATTTTACTGCCGGGCTCGTGTTTATCCGCATTAACCACGTGACATCAGAAATATACCGTAGCCTTGTGAATCCAGCCCTTATTCTCGAAGAAACGGAAGAAACTACGAAGATGTCTGGATAAATCGCGACTACACCTAGCAGCTGAGAAAAATGGCTTCGTCTGCTAAAAAGATGAAACGAGCTCACAAGATGTAATTTTCTGTTATTTAATTCGGGAAACAGGTTTAAAGAATAACTAGTCATTGAACATTACAAGTCATTCACAATTCAACATTTGTTATCATTGGTTTAAAATGATCCGTTTTGTAATAAAAGGCATTTTAAGATGTTTTATTCATTTATTCATAAAATAACATTTTATCTCGAAAAAACGGAATATGGTCAGCTCTGAAACGGAAAATAACGGAATTAAAAATACTTAAAACGGAATTTGCTATTTTCTGAAACGGAAAATCATCACCCCTAGAGTAGCTCGGACCGGGGAGTAACATAGGCCAGGTGGCGTTAATCTACCACTTCCGGTTTCGGAGTTATGACCCCCGAGCGAAGCCGGTCTGTTCGGGGTTGGCGGCTACACTAGGTTTTCCCCGAGACTGAAATTTGGGTTATAGGGGTAGCTCGGACCAGGGAGTAACATAGGCAAGGTGGCGTTAGTCTACCACTTCCGGTTTCGGAGTTATGACCCCCGAGGGAAAGCCGGGTATCCTGCTACATGTAGTTATAATATATAAATTAAACATACATGTACATGTACATTATGTAATAGGTGTAGATAAAAAGTATCCAAGATCTTAAACACACATTATGCAAGAGCTAAATCCGCCAATTGCAGGTCTTTCTTTAGGCTTAAAATTATATCTAAATTATCAATTAGACATTAATTAACTTATCCAGACCATAATCAACTCTTGATGTCATCACTAGCCGTCGATATTTACTGGATTAGAACCCAATCTGCTACTTAACGCTCATTGATTAACTAAAAAAAATGGATAATCAAGACTGTTTTTTATCGTACCGACTTTAGTAATTATGATGATCGAGGCTATGCCCGAAATTTAATCGCTAAATTGACGGTTCAGAGTGGATCAATTTGACTGAAATTTTCAGCAAATTCCCTTGTTACAAAAGATGCTGAAACACATTATGGTACACGATACGTGTACCAATGATAAAATGTTTATTTTGTCTTAAATATTGGATATCAGAATCTCATCTTTTCCCGGTAAGATCACAACGTCAATGTTAATTTAAATTGAAAAATAATTTGTGTTTTCAATGCGGAAGACGTTGGATGATTTGAGTTAGAGACTTAGCTACTTTAACAATCTTTTCCTTAAGATAACCGGGTCATGGTGGCTAAGTGGGTACATGTAAGTCGCTGGCTCGCTAGCCTGGAGGTCAGTGGTTTGATTTCTACACTGACCGAGAAAGTTCATCTAGACTTTCCGGCGTGGTTCTCCCTTGTCAGTGATGCAGGACGGATAACTACCTAGTTGTACGGATGGGACGGAAACTGAGGCCCTGTGTACACATTGGCGTGCCCGTAAAAGATCATTTGACAGTTGGAATTCGATATAAGAGTAGGCCGTAGTGCCTCTGTGCGGGCAAAATTTCTCTCATAGCACACTGCATGGCCTATGCCCGTCTTCATTAGCCCGGTTTGAAGCAGAACAGTAGGACGTTAAACCCCATTTCATTTAGCTAATAGTTTTGTTTGATTACTTACTGTTTTTTTCTCTGTTATTGGCCGTTTTCTGTAAAGCCCGCTGTATCCATGTTATCTGTTCTTTATAACCTAAGAATAAAAGTTTTATATTGAGCAAACATATGTTTCATTTTAACTGTATAATGTGAAGGTAAGATTTTATTATATACAGTGTGGATTAGAAATTTATTTATCAAATAGTGGGAGAGAGATTGAGATTGAGAGAGAGATCAGGTTTAACATCCAATCAACACAAACTAGGTCATTTTGGGACTAACATGGTTCTAGTTTATTTCAATAATTTGCTTGTGCTTAGGGGTCTTTAGCAGTGGGTGGAAACCGGAGGACCCGGAAAAAACCCCACGAGGTTGGACAGGCGATCCTACTCCTTGTCACATACAACCGGGGAATCGAAACCACACCAACTGACTCAATGACAGACCGTATGATACAGAGCGCATGTTCTAACCATTCGGCCACCCCCCCCCCCCTTTATCAAATATCATCTTACCACTAGAAACAATATCCTTGATAACTTCCGTCAAGTTTAAACCTTGAGTATAAGCCGTTCTTCTGATTGTTTCATCTTTATGCATATTGGTACTACCTTCAGAGCCCGACGCCATATCAACACCATTGTCGTCCATATCGCTATCATCAGAACTACTCGACTCGCTATCACTAGTCTTCTCATCGTTACTATTAATATTCTCTAACATGTTTCTCGTAGAATCTAATCGTCTAGCTCGTGTTTCTTCATCACTACTGGAAAAATCAGGTAATACTTCATCCTCCTGTTCTGCACCCCAGATATCTTTATTCGTTTTCTTCTTTTTAGTGGGTTTCCTTTTATCCACCTCACTACGATCCTTAATAAGTTCAAGTTCTAATAATTTATCTATGACATTAGATTTTGATTTACCACTGATACGGGACATAATATTATGTAAGGTATTTCCACCATCTTGGTACTCCTCAAACAGATTTCTCAGTTCGAATTCTTCTTCTTCCCTCCACACAACGTGACTTTTATTCTTTTTTGTACGTTTTTTATCAATGTCTTTACGATCATTAATTAGGCCAAGTTCTATTAACTTATTTGCCACTTTATTTTTAGATCTGTACATACTAGACGCAATATTTCCCAATGGATCGTCCGAATCTTTATATCTTTCAAATAATGTTTTAAGTTCTAATTCATGTTCTTCCCTCCATACATTGACACCAGTCTTCTTACTTCTTAATTCTGCAGCACTATCAATTAGACCTTGGCGCTTTAACTGTCGTATCAGTTGATTCCTTGTTTTAGTCGGGTCAGTCAGTCTTTCCATAATACGATCGGCAATATCTTTTTCATTATCTTCTATATTAGCCGCAGATTCTTCATACAAACGACCAACTTCCTGCTCTTGTTCCTCAGTCCACAAAACTTTAGTTCTATTGTTGGCCGTATAACCATAACCGTGAGTTATATCCATGGCTTCTGAACTACTCTTCCAAAACAATAACTCCATGAATATTTTAGGATTGTCTTGTGCAGCTTTAACAAAATGTTCAACAAGATATGTTCCAAATTTCACCATTTCCTTATATCTGGGTAATTTTACACATGGTCCAAACATCAATTGTTGAAATGTCCTGAATATAGATGCTTGAAACAACATACCAACACAACCAAGATCGACTGATACTCTATGAAACATTTTGATAATACAGTGATTAGTATGAGTCGTATTAGTTTTATAATCCGCTAGTAATAAACCGTAACTTTTTAATATGGCTGATTTAGCAAACGTATTCATGTATTGTTGGAAGTTAAACTGTTGCTCGGATTTTTCAGTAAATTCCATTTCCTCCTCTTCAACTTCATTGAAAGTTTCATCCTCTTCAAATATATTGTTTTCACTTTCAACTGTCTGTCTTGGTAAAGGTGCTAAAAAGATTTCTCGAACCAGCATAAATTCATCTTCTGGTGATACATCTACTGCTCCGAACTCATCTCTCTCTGGCCAGACTTCTCTAGCTGCTCGAAACAATGCTACAGCTTCCCCCATCTTCTTCTCTCTCAAAGTATCTTGTATACGTATCATAGTTTCCGCTCGTTGTTGATCAACATCTACTTCCGAAGCAGCATCGAATGGTGTTATATCTGTCGGTATTTCTTTTCTATTTTGTACAATCTCTGATAACTCGCCAGATATTTCGTCCCACATATCTTCCAATTCCTGTTCACTTGGTCCGCTAGCAGCAGATCCAGGCTTTTCTTTCGGCTTTTTAGATTTATGCTTTTTCTTTTTCTGGACAACCACGGAACCCTTTTTACTCCAAGTTTCTAACATCTTGAGAAAAAGATGCGTACTTTCCACAAGATCTTTCAAATATGTTCTGGACATCTGGCTTTCATTAAACTTCCTCAATAACGTAACAAATATATCTCTATACTCCGTCAAATAAAACACATTACTTTTAATGACCTTTGCACTTTCGATGAAATGTGAATTCCCAGATCTGTCCATAGAATCCAGTGTTAACATCAGCTCTTGGTAAGCTTTTAACGCCAGATGGGCTCTTCTACCCCAAACTTTAGCTTCTTTTTTCTCTGTTAACATCATTTCGTAATAATTAATCAGATTTGTATAAATATAATGGTAGGTGTTCGTAGACATGGTTTCACTGATCAAGTCCACTCTTTTACTGTGAAATCTGCAGAATTCCATAAAAAAACGAACTGACCACATATAATACGTTTCATCGTGTTCTTGTGTTTTTTCTCGTAACAAATTATCCTTAACAGCAAACATCAATGGGTTGTAACAATTCTCCAAAAACTGAACACAGAATTCCTTCAAGCTGAGACGAATACTAAGAGTTGAACGTCTAGTAAATTCTGTATCTTTTATTGGTTGTCTATTTTTAGAAACTCTGGTGTTACGTTTTTTATCATTTAATGTTATATTATCGACATCACCACGTGCCTTATGATAGATCATTTCACGATCGCTGATCGATTTAAAATTCTTAACTACATATGTCCCACCAAACCTCGAATGTCTTGTACTTTGTTTTAAAAATTCAGCTCTTTTATTGGCTCTTTCTTGTTCTCTTATCGACTCTAATTCTCTTTCTTCGCGCTCCTTTTCCGACTGTGACTTTTTTACACCGGCATTAGCTAAAACCTCTGGTTTTTGTTCTCTGAACATAAGTGAAATTATTTCTAATAAATGCATACACAGTTGTCTTTCATCATCAGCACTAGCTATATATAATAACATATCTTCCATACCACTCACGTGAAAAACCCATATTATTTGATCGTGTAGGCTTGCATCATCATCTGTTCTTTTTTCCATTGAAGGATCGGGAGCGATGTGTAGAACATTTCTCAAAACTATCAACATTCGTTCTAGTGTTAATTTATCTTCTTCTTGTCTTTGTTCCCAGTCCAATTTTAAAATGTCTCCAATTTTTTCTGTTAAAACAGCGAATAACACTTCATCAACAAATGCCTCTTTATAATTATATAAATGGTTTTCAATCTCAATGTAATAATTACGAAGAGTTTTATCTTCTGGTATGTGGTTGTTAAAACATAAATAAGCTGGTTGTGTTAGATTAACCAATAATCTAAGAACTGCATCAAACAGAGCTGCGTCATTTTTATAATTTTTAATAAGCTGAAGCAAATCATTCTGTAAAATTCCTGCATGTCCCAGCTGACGTCTGATGTCACAAGTTTCATCTTCTCTTTTCAAAAATCGAATTAAATCTTTTACAGTTTCAAGACAGTCTGGTTCCTTGATATATTTCTTTCCTTCTAAATATCCTAAAGCACTGCAAGTGGCTTGAAGTTCAACATGCATAACCATGATGACTTTAACCTAAATGTCCGTTACACCACTGTTGTTACAGTTAGATAACTTGATAGGGAGACAGGACACCTTGGTGATAATTGTTTGGCTTCGTCTCTTAATTGAGTTTTACATTCCCGCCATAATTTGAGAAAGATAACTCTAAAAACCGGATACGGAGTTCAACATCACCCCTAAATGCCAGGCTAAGTCTAAAAGTTAAGACCAGCTCAATTTTTGTCAAGGTCGCCGAGATGTAAATAAGGTTTAGAGCACGTGATTGTTGGCGAGATTGTAGGTTAGGGTTAGGGTAAGCATAGTGGCTAGGTCCAAGGTTAGGGCTAGGGTTGGGATTAGCGCTAGCCCTGTTTACATTTCGTGACCTATGACGAAAAATTGAGCTGGCCTTATAATTTAGCACTAACCCAAAGTACTGCTAGAATTTCCAGTCGAATATATCAGTCGATGGCTGAGTAAAATTAAGGAATAATTTGCTTAATTTAAATAAAAGACGCACTAATTCGAGCATCATTTATCGGCGTTTTTGTTTATATTTTTTTATTTTCCCGCAAGTTCAAATTTGATTGTTAAACTGAAACCTTCACTGCGTTTTTCTTTCAGTACCTCTCTTTGCGAGTAAGGTCATCAACTAGGGTTAAAGGTCAACGACTGAGGTCATTGACTGAAATAGCTTTAAATAAATAAATAGTCTGTGTCCGATGCATAAAATTGACGACAGCATTGTATCTAGTACTGTTATCTTAGTTACTGCCACCGCTGCTTAATAAAGACACGCTGCAGGGGCGGATCTAGGAATTTTGAAAAGGGGGGGGGGGGCGCTGCAAAATGAAGGCATTGACCGCGAAGACGGGGCACGCCACTTGGGGGTGGGGGGGTCCCCAAGAAAATTATCCGTCATTTCCTTGCATCTGTAGCCATTCCAAAAGCTATTTCCCAGACTGGTGTGTTTTGGTCGATGGTTTGAATCATTTAGGATCCCTACAACGGTTTGGGAACGGACATATTTGAGTCTGAGAAAAGGCACTTTCAGCAGTAAAAAAGGGCACTGTTGAATCCGCCTCTGCGCTGTACGTTTTTTTTTCTGAGTTATTTATATTTAGCGACTGATATATTCGACTGCTAAATACCACTGTTTATCCGTTATATATTCGACTGGATTATTCGACTGGTTTATTTGACTGGTTTTATCGTCTGGCACAAGAAAACGCCCCCTCCCTCCCACCAGCACACACACCCAACCCATGCCCAAACTACGGAATATATGTAGCCTACAACGTGGGTGGGTGGGTAAGGCCGAAAATATTACTATGAACTAAAGTAGGCCTATCACCTAAATCTCAGACTTTTGTCCCAAAATCGAACTTGAAACTAGTTGGGAGGGGTGGGGGTATATTTTAGGGGGTGGGGCCGAAAATGTTATTCTGTACTTAAGTATCACCAAAGTACCTAAGTATCAGTCTACTGTTGCCCGTAAAATTGAACTTGATACTACTACTAAAGTACTAGTTGGGAATAACTTATAAGGAATAGGGGTCAGCTTCTATATATCAATCGTATTTTATTGTCGCTCAATATATCAAGGAAAAACGTAAAGCGGGACATTCCCCTCCCCCCCCCCCCCTCTCCCCACAAAAAAAAAAAAAATTCTGACAACTAGAAGCCCAGAAATGTCATTTCCAGTGATCTGAGAAAGTGTGCCCCTGGATCCAGAATTGGGGGGGGGGGGAATGAGCCAGGTGTGCCTCCTATCAGATCTGCCCTTGTATGACGATGTTATAAACAATCTAAAAACACAAGGTATAAATAACACGATCTGATGTCAAATAATACTGAAGTCATTTTCTAAGTCAACATTTACATCATAAACAGATAGATATGACATTACCGCCATGATACTTTGTAAACACACGTTGTCATGGTTACCACATAATTTATTTACTCGATATCAAATGTTTATCTACACATTGCCCACATGTTTATCTCGCCATACATCTATTTTAATAGACATCTATATGTTTACAATAGTAATTGGTGCCTCTGTGGCTCAGTGACTAACTGGGAGGTAATGAAATGAAATGAAATGAAATGGGGTTTAATGTCCTACTGTTCTCCTCCTCTATACTTGGCTAATGAAGAAGGTATATGCCATACAATGTGCTGTGAGGCATATTTTGCTCGGGCAGTGGCACTATATGGCCTACTCTTACATCGAATTCCAACTGCCAAGGGATCTTTTACGTGCCTGCCAATGTATACACGGGACTTGGTTTTCCGAACCATCCGAACGACTAGACAGCAGCCTTTTCAGGCCCTCAGTCTTGCGCCACTTACAAGGGGGGAAACCACTTCGGAAAATCCTGATGAATTTGTGTACCAAAAGAGTATAACAGGCAACAACAAGGTTTATTCAGACAGGCGAACGCATGACATTATCATAGATCGTACAGTTCCGATGACGGCATGTTTTACGGTTAATGTTATATAACACACTTTTCACTTGGACAATCAAAACTACATAAAGGAAACTCTGAACCCTTAAAGGGAACTAACTGATCGTTAGTCTTATAGGATTCGGACAACTGAATATTATTTATTTTATTTTTTATTTGTATCATATCCTTACAGCCCCTGCTGACTAATCCACGGCCTCAATGCTGGGTCATTTTGGGAATAACATACGGTTCAACTTCATTTGAATAATTCGCTTGTGCACTGGGGTCCTTAGCACTAAGTGGTCCCGGAGAAAACCCATTATGTTGGAAGGCAACCTTATTCCCTGTCACATACAACCGGGGAATGGGGTTTAACCTCCACTCAACACAAACTAGGTAATTTCAGGACTAACATAATTATGGTACAATTTTATTTCAATAATTCGCTGTAGCAGTGGGTGGAAACTGAAAGACCCAGAGAAAACTTGTGAGGTTGGACAGGTGACCCTACTCTTTGTCACGTACTGTACAACCGTTGAATCGAAACCACGCCAGTTGACTCAATGACAGACCTTATTGTACAACGCGCACACGCTAACCATTTGGCCACCTAACCAGATTTCCCACCCCCAGGTCTAAAGAAAGACCTGTAATAGGCAGATTTAGCTCATGAATAATGTTATGTTTAAATGCTTATTATCTGTCATTAATTTTCTTCTCTCCACCATCACAAGTTTTACTATGTTTCCTTTGCGAATTTTTAAGTTTATATTTTCTTCCACAAATGTCACAAGTGAATCGTTCATCAGTGGTGTGGCGTCTCAAGTGGATACTCAAATAATATTTTGTGTTGTACATTTTACCGCACACTTGACAAGACCATTGGATTGGGTTTTCGTGCATTTGCTTTTTATGGCGTAGTAACTGATAGTTGTGAAAAAAACTGGACGGACACACGTCACAGAAAAAGTTTTTTTCAGTGACATTGTGAATCAATTCATGGAATCTCAAACTGTGAATTCGATTAAAACATTTGCCACATTTCTCACATTGGTGTATCTTCTCACCATTATGCTTTATCATGTGGGTAGTTAAATAACGTTTACTAACGCATCTATAATCACAGTGCGGACAGGCAACAGGTTTGTGATCCAGATGAACTGGTTTATGTTCTCTCAGACGCTGACGTTTTTTAAATATTTTCCCACAAATTTCGCAAATAAATGTCTGGCATGGTTTCATAGCCAATCTAGCTGCTGTAGTTGCATGAACGTTTGTATGTCGTATCAGAGATTTGTTTCGGTCAAATGATTTTGGACACAAGGAACACTGAAATGGATAACGCCTTTTGGGGAATTCCTTATTTTGTTTGCTTAATTGTAATGAATGAGATTGCAGTACATTGGTATTGACAGCTTTGCTCTGGAATCTATTATTTATGGCTTCAGTTGTTTTAATATCAGATGAATTTTTTAGCGTTGGTTCCACAATTGTTGATGATTTAATGTTGTTTTGGTATGGTGATGTTGCTATTGATAATTCAGTTGCTATGACCAACTCAGGCTTATCTGTTGCTATGGGGAATTCATTGTATTCAGATTTACTTGTTGATATAAATAACTCTGGTTTACTTGTTACCATAGTTACATTGGGTTTATCTGTTGCTATGGATAATCCAGATTTACTTGTTGCTATGGTTGTGTTGGGTTTACCCACTGGTATGGTTAGTTCATCGTATAAATTTGTAACATCATTAAATTCGAAAGTCTCATCTCCTTCAATAATTACAAAAACTTGACCTTCATCTTTCAAAGTACTCAGGTTAAGGTCATCTCCTACTATGACCTCAACAAATGAGCCTTGACCCGATGTTTCAAGACCTTGGTCCATCACATTTTCACACAATGAGTCACTTGATATATGAGACACATTAAGGGAAGTTTTTACTGGAAAACGCACTGAAGGTGCTGCTTCTGACAATTTGGTAAATTTCTTATCATTTTTGCTATTTGATATTAAATGAGATTTTAAGAATTTGCCGCTGTTCTTGAGTAAGCTTATATCATCTATAGTTTGAAATGTTTCTATATTAGCTGAATTTTTTACTGTTGGTTCAGGTTTATTTTGTGATAAGGATAATTTAGTCGGTGTGGTTGCTATCGGTAACTCTGGCTTATTGGTTACTATGGGGAATTCAGATTTACTTTCAACTACAGATAATTCAGGTTTTCTGGTTTCTATGGTGCATTTCGGATTAGTGGTTGATTTTGTAAATTCAGATAATTTACGCTCATTTGATGCTATGTTTATTTGAGATTTATTATTTGTTATAAACAGATCAGTTTTACTTTTTGCTATGAGTGATTTCAGTAGACTGGTTGCAGTTTGTAATTGACCTTGACTGCTTGGCGGTTGTAATTTACCTTGACTGCTTGACGGGTGTAATTTACCTAGACTGCTTGGCGGTTGAAATTTTACTTTACTTGATACTATGGATAATTCAGATTCACTTGTTGCTATGGGTAACATAGGGTTACTAGTTACAGTTGGTAAATCAGGATTAATTGTTGCTATGGGTGATTTAAGTAGACTGCGTTTACCTCTTTTTGATATGCTTGGTTTGGATTTTCTTGTTCCTACAGGTTGTTTTAAACTAGAAGGAGAGACATTGTTGTGATATAATCTTGTGACTTTACATGCCTTTGACATCGCTTCCTTAGCGATCTGGTCACCATTTTTGACATATGTTGAACTTCCAGGACCTGGCGGCAAATCTATTGGTTTTAACGATTTACACACATTTACTACACTGTTGCTACTGGTTACCGTAACAGACAAGATCTGGTTACATAACGACACAATCTGTTGACAGTACGAATCATAACCAGATATTTTAGAGAAAAGGGAGATAAGTTGTTTGATGGTTGTATTGTGATTCATAACGAGACTGTCACAGGTTTGTATTATTCTGTTGACATCTATCTTGGATATTAATAGATGAGTTTGTACCACTTGATTCATCACACATGATGAAGTCATCGTGACTCAACATAGATGGAGGAAACTGTGTCCACAACTTATTTTTTGACTGGGTATTCCATCTTCTGTGTGGCTTATCCTGAAGAAAAAAAATTGTAGAATTTAGGTTAATTAAAAGATGTAACTTTCGGTAATGAGGCAAGATCTCGGATGAATGGGATGTGAGATTTATGGGGTTTAAAATCCACTCAACATGAACTAGGTCATTTCAGGACTAACATCTGGTTTGATTTTATTTCAATAATTCGCTTGCACGTAGTGGTCTTAAGCATTGGAGGACCCAGAGAAAACCCATGAGGTGGGACAGGTGACCCTACTCCTTGTCACATACCCGGTACAACCGGGGAATCGAAACCACGCCAGTTGACTCAATGACAGGCCTTATGATCCAACCATTTGGCCACCCAACCCCCCCAGGACCTGACAGGACATCGGAACAAAAGACGTCACACTAGCTAAGGGAAATCAGAACAACTACAGGTCAAGGATTTTCCCAATCTGGTTAAAACACAGATTTTCGTTTCGTTTTTATAGTTCAAAATTTCGTTTTACTTGTCTTTACAACACTAGGATCTGGAAGAGTTATTATTTAACTCGTGTTCTGAATGGCGTCAGCGATAAGCCAATGAAACGGTCTGTCACGGCAAGCTTTAGGCGTGTTTTGCACGGAACTGTGGGTAATCCACTAGTAACATCAATGCTCATTGGTTAATCAAATGTCTGACATCATAGGGTCATAAGTCGGTCTTTTGACCCCTGACGTGACCTATCGCTATAACTTGTCAGATCTTCATGTAGTGTAGGCCATCGAAAGTATAAAAAAACGAAACGAAATATAGATCTGTATTTTAATCCGATTGGGATTTTCCGGGTTGTTGTTTACTATCTATCAAACGCAACGAATACAGGAACATTTGATTATTGAACTCTCATACTAAGGGGAAATCTGAAACTGTCTGACCACCCAAGCTTCTGCCTTTAACATGAGTACCATCAAACAAACATGGTAGGGTAAAGCATTACTTGCATATTAAGTATTGTTTAGTGGTCGAGTGCGAGACATTAAGTAATATATTGTAACAAGAAGAGGACCATAGGCCCGAGTGTTTTTTACAATATATTACACAATGTCTTAAGTTCGAGACCATTAAACGACTTAAAATACAGACACACCGCACATGCTTTTACAGTGAAATACGCCATGCGAGGACAATATTTCACTAGTATAAATAATGTACCGTTGGCAAGTTGCCCGTACGATTATTTGAAATAATGGTATGCCAACATCAAAGGGTGACGTCGAAAATTTCAAGTGCCTACGACCACGGGAACTGGTAGAGGTACCAAAGTGCAATAGCGCCAACGACCGTCGCCCTATCTATAAAATACCTGCTGTACTCTGTAGACTGTGCACCCCCTAAAATCTTCACTGCCCCTCCGCAGCCAGCTATGGGCCTGCCCCGGACATAGTCCGATCAGAGACAGTTCCTAAAGGAACTAGTAAAGTAGGCCTACTAACATGATTAACAACAAACCCTTGTTTGTGAAGCGTGTGTTCAGTCTCATAAAGACATGAGTTTCTTCTCAAGAGATGTACGGTAAGGTAACCGTAACAGAGTGTCTTATTTTTGTTTGACGGTAAAGACAAATTTTTACCAACGGCGATATAGACACGAAACGAAATAGTAAATTATATTAACAAGGGCAATGCTTTCAATCTGTTTCCAACGCTTTATGGTACTTTTTAAAATGAAGAGAATGAAATATGAAATGTCTGCAACGACTGTACAACAAAGACGGCGTTTGGTTTGTTTTGCCAAATTTACAGACTAAATATTAACAAGTGGATGTGCCATTTCCCCTGGGGGTCTGGAATGCACCAAAATCAATAGTTGCCGCCCTTTGGGTATAAATAAGGAATAAATATGTCAAGTTCAAGGATTATTCATTCAGAATTGCAGCCTAGCTGTAGGCGATATAAACACACAAATTGGGCGTTGCTCTACCCCTGGGGGTTGGACGAGGGTTGGACGGACCAATATGAATTGGCACAACCCTCTTATTGAAATGATTGGTCATGACGAATTTGAACAAAATCTGTTAATTCTTGGGCGTTCCTCTACCCCTGGGGGTTGGACGAGGGCTAGCGCTAATTCCAGCCCTGGACCTAACCCCAATGCTTAACCTAACCCTAACCTACAATCTCGCCAACAATCATGTGCCCTAACCTTATTTACATCTCAACAACCTTGCAAAAATTGAGCTGGCCTTAACATACACACCCATATCGTTCATTATAAAGTTTATAATATCCCCGAAACCATGCATAGTAACGTTTGGAATTTGGCCGACACCATGCATTGTAACTTTAGAATGCCTCTGTGACAATTAAGGAGTAGGGTCGATCGACTGCCCAACCCCGTGGGTTTTATCCGGGGACCAGTTATACGGGCAAGCGAATTATTGAAATAAAATTGAACAATCTCTCTCTGGTCACGGATCTCTAAAAACATAAGGACTGTGACACTATCGGTAGGACATATGTGACTTTAATCAGGAACTTCCAGAAAACGACCAGTGACACTAGGGTGAGACTTATCTAGTCAGGACTTTCACGCTGTATATAAAACTGTTGGATGGCTGAATGGTTAGCACGTGCGCGCTGTACCATAAAGTCTGTCATTGAGTCAACTGGCGTGGTTTCGATTCCCCGGTTGTACGTGTCAAGGAGTAGGGTCGCCTGTCCAACCTCGTGGGTTATCTCCTGGACCCCCGGTTTCCTCCCACAGCTAAAGACCCCTACGCAGAAGCGAATTATTGAAATAAAATTAAACCATATGTTAGTCCCGAAATGACCTAGTTTGTGTCGAGTGGACGTTAAACCCCATTTTTCTCTCTCTCCGTAACACTTCGTTTTTATAACTATGTTTATGTATGAAATACAGGAAACTACAACAACTATGGTAGTACATTAGGAGTTATTATAATATCTACAGCCTGTGTTTAACAAGCTTAGAACTCAGACCCATCGGCTGAAACACCACACCGTCTCATGTCAGTATCCCAGACTCTCAGTCTGTCGTGCGACTAGGAACGCTGGATGATGTCTGAAGGAAAAGTTAACCCCACCCTTCTTAAATGGAAAGTATAGATGTACTGTAATAAAGTTCAGAATGGGCCCCTACCCCCATGTTACACCCATCTCCTTCCCTTCGTGTACCACGCATTATAAGGTTTAGGAAAACCTGTGTCAGTAAATATAATGTACACAAGAAAGTTCACAGTTCACAGCCTTATATAAAAGCCGCCTTCGTTAGCCCAGTGGGGGAAGAATAGTAGGACGTTAACCCCCATTACATTTGTTATATAAATCTTTGATCACTGGATCGATATAAGTTACATTTTTCTACCGTTTGCTCATTCCAATTAATATACAAACATCTATATATAAATATAATTGGATGTTGAATACAGAAAAAAACTAACCAACTTGATCGATATTAACATCTCGGCACAGATTAACTAAACGTCCGAGAGGGAGAGAAATGAAATGAAATGAAATGGGGTTTAACGTCCTACTGTTCTGCTCCTATGCTGGGCTAATGAAGACGGGCATTCGTCATACAGTGTGCTGTGAGGGAAATTTTGCCCGGGCAGCGGCACTATCGCCTACTCTTATATCGAATTCCAACTGCCAAGGGATCTTTTACGTCCATTCCAATGTATACATGGGACTTCGGTTTTTCTCTCATCCGAAGGACTAGACAGCTGTCCTTGCCAGGCCCTCCGTCCTGCTTCACTGACAAGAAGGAACCACACCGTAAAATCTGGATGAACTTTCTCGGCCAATGCAGAGATCGAACACCCGACCTCCAGGCTAGCGAGCCAACGTCTTACCCACTTAGCCACCATGATCCCGAGAGAGAGAGAGAGAGAGAGAAAGAGATTTGGTTTTTCCAGGATTAAAAGAAAGGTCTTATTTCATTTTTAAATTACATGTTTTAAATTTGTCACCTAACAAAGCAGGTGCCAGGTGCTGCCCCAACCCCGAGGTTGGACAGGCGACCCTACTCCTTGTCACGTACAACCGGGGAATCGAAACCACGCCAGTTGACTCAATGACAGACTTATATATTATATATAGTTTGAAGTGGCAAACCCCAACGCTAATCACATCGGATGGGATTCAAATAAGCAAAATTGACAATTTGTTCTTCAAAACAACGATTGATTATTGTTATTTATAACATTTCTGCCACATCCAACTACAATTAAGCAGAAAATCATACCGGACACGGGTACACATTCCCCTTTTTTAAATCGAAACGATAATAAATTGCTTTCTCCGACATTTTAAATTTACGTCTTTAACACATAAAAGCGGTGCGTTGTGTACTAATCTGATCAGAGTTGCGCAGTAGTAATACGCCGTAATTTTGAACGTCCGAATCAATTTTGATAAAAACAACGCTTGATTTACTTTATAAGTTGTTTCAGTAGATTGGGCTGTGTATGTCTGATAAGTTCTAATAGTATAAAATTAACTTATTTTTAAGATGCATTAATAAAGAAATTAGGTTTGCCAGGTGAAACTAAAGGCACCCACCCAATCGTTGCTAAAAACAAGCACATCAGTATATCTCAATGTTTTTAGCTACGTTCTCGTAGCAAACACACGCCCCAGGCGCCTAGCAAAACACAATCTTATCAAAATACAGATCTATATTTCGTTTCGTTTTTTTATACTTTCGATGGCCTACACTACTTCAAGATCTGAGTTCACGTCAGGGATCAAACGAACAGCTTTTGACCCTTTGACGCCAGTCATTGATTAATCAATCAGCGTTGACGTTTCTAGTGGTTTACCCACAGTTCCGTGCATCAAAAGGCCAAGAACTCGCCGTAACAGACCGTTTCATTAGCTAATCCCCCACATCATCCAGAACGCGTCAATGATAACAACTCTTCCAGATCCTAGTGTAGTAAAGAGAAGAAAAACGAAATTTTGAACTATAAAAACGAAACGAAATAGGTTATGAAAGTACTGAATATATTCCATGAACATATCTAACAGTTAACATTAATTTGTTGTAAAATATTTCGAACACTTGGAATTCCTGTTATTCCAGAAAAGTATGGATCGTATCGAGAGAGAGAGAGAGAGAGAGAGAGAGAGGGAGAGAGAGAGAGATGTGTGTTTTAATCAGACTAAGCTGAAACACTGAATATTATGATCAATGTGGAGGTGTGCTAAACACCAAACACCCTTTTCAACATGTCGTATTACACAAAGCGTGAAGACAGAATTAGTCCCGTAATTAGCGATTTAACATATCATATATCAATATTTACTACAGCGTGACAAATCGATATTTTAACACAAGCTACAAGGGCTTTATCAATATACTTATTAATAATTAGACAATAATTCATAATCACCTATCGATTGCAACTAATGAGCCTCAAAATTCTTTACAAAAAAGTAATCCCCGTAGACCTTTCTTCTTGGAATATTGATAATGGATGGTTGCAAATATAAAAATAATAAAATGAAATGGGGTTTAACGTCCTACTGCTCTGCTCCGACTGGGCTAATGAAGACGGGCATATTCCATACAGTGTGCTATGAGGGAAATTTTGCCCGGGCAGCGGCACTAAAGCCTACTCATATCGAATTCCAACTGCCAAGGGATCTTTTACGTGTACGCCAATGTATACACGGGACCTCGGTTTATCGTCCCATCCGAACGACATTGAATTTAAAAATTTAAAATTCAGCCAATGAGCAAACAGTCTTCGATTGGATTAACTTTAATCAGTCCGTTTGCTAACGGATAATGAGACTGGCTTTCCAGCAACAGAAATTTAACGGACCGTTAACAAACGACACGTTTTTCGTCCCATCCGAAGGACTAAACAGCTGTCCTCGTCAGGACTCCTGTCCTGCACCACTGACAAGGGGAAACCTCGTCGTAAAAAAAATTATGCCCGTAACCATTTCTTTCTTGGAATATTGATAATGAATGGATGCATATATAAAAATAGCTAAGTCTCTAACTCAATATCATCCAAAGTCTTCCACAATTGAAAACACAAATTATTTGTCAATTTAAATCAACATTGATGTTGTAATCTTACCGGGAAAAGATGGGTTTCTGATGTACAATATTCAAGACAAAATAAACATTTCATCATTCGTACACGTATCGTGTACCATAATGCGTTTCAGCGCCATTTGTAACATGGGACTCGAAGAACGAGGCTAGACATATTCCACAAGTCATGTCAAACGGTGACGTCATATTCTTATCTGGAGAGCATGCGCAAGAAATATTATCGATGTAGACTGGAATAACCTGACGCTAGAGGTTGCCATTCGTTTGAGCCCCCCCCCTCTCTCTCTCTCTCTCTCTCTCTCTCTCTCTCTTTCTCTCATAACATATTGATGATCTGTATATTTATATTACCTCGTTATCAGCTGGTGCCATTGACGTCTGGTCTCAATAACATGGATACAAATACGCAGTTATTATGCATATATTTCATAATCATTGTTTTTTTGTTGGTGTCATTAACGTCTGGTTGCTTTAACGTGGTT